CAGATGTGTGTCTCTTAGATATACTGCTTTTGTACCCAGTCACTGATGCAGACAAGCAACCTTTAATCCAATGAATACTGAATCAAGAGCCTCCCAGTGTTGTTTTTGGCAAGCTTCTGGGGCATCCATGTGTGTCTTTAAAATAGTTTACTTAAACTGGCAAATATACACACGCTTTTGGTGTGTTTTGCTCTTGTGTTCTTATTGTTGTATTATTATTGTAGTCACACCACTGTGTAAACAGCTTAAGCATTTCACTGTTGGATTACACAGATAAGTAGTTAAGGACCAACCTTGAGTAGACATGGGGCATTGTGCATGGGCTTGAGCAGGTCTGGGATATCTGGCCCAGTGTAACCCTCCGACTCAGGCTCAGTGGCGGGATCCTGATGAAAACGCACAGCCTGGGCTGGAAGTCGACACTCATAGAGCTGTTTGTACTTACTGGACACCATCATAACCTCCTCTGTCTTAGTCTACAAACGTAAGACAGACATGGAAAAGGGGGTGAATTTAATGTTGACACACATGTTCACACATTACCAACGCATCACGTGAATGCAAACAGATAAAAACATGGTTTGCGGCTTTACTTTTAACTAGTTATAGACCTGTGGCAATGAACATAACAGCTGTCACAGCATGCTGTGACGTACGTCACCTGAGAATTACTCGTCTTCATGTAACTCTGTAAGATTTATTTTAATATGTTTTGTGCTTTTATGACATCAGGTCTCACGCTTTGTGAATTATTTGACACTATTAATAGTAAATAAATAACGCTAGCTCATATTTAAGCTAACAAGCTATATCCGTTAGCATTTCCTGACTCACCTGCCCCAGGATGACAGGATCGGGAAGAATCTGAATCCCATATTTCATTTCATTAAGCTCCTCCAAATTCAAGAAGCCCGGGACACAGAGGGGACATATCAACAAGAAAACGTACAGTCTCTTTAACAACCAAACCAAGGAAGCAGCCATCATTGACTCTCGCCTCTTTCCCCTGTCTGACAGCAACAACACACAGAATGCCTGACATGGTAGCAGTGGATTGGTCGAGGTGAAAAGCCCTGCTTTGTCATTGGCCAATTTCCAAGTCAATCAAAGTTTTTCCCTAGTTCTGAGGTGCGTTTGGTTTTCATACCAGCGGAGAGTCAATGAACGGCGTGTTTGTGCTATATTTAGCACGTTAATGAATAACAGCGATAACGGCCCACATCTCCGCTGTCACCGCCTGTCTTGCGATGAAATAGGCTCACATACGGTGTACATTTTAGGACATCGTCATGTACACCGTACTCACACTTAAGCACGAAGACAAGACGGGCTGTCGCATGGTAAAATTAAAATCACGAGTTTGGTGGGGGGTGTCTTCGTTTGTTTCATTTTGTTTTGGTGCAACGCAGTCCCAAGTAACTGATTTTAAAGGTTTACAATAACAATTAGGTAAAATAATGACAAAACAATAAAATGATTCATATGATACCCAAAAAGTACACACCGAGCTGAGCGAAAAGTGCAGTCAAACTACTGAGTTTAAATATCCGGTGAGGAAAAAATCAAGACAGTTCCTTGAAGAAAAAAAAACATTCCTTAACAGAATACCAGAAAGGAGGGGAAGTACAGACGGTGAGATACTATAGAAGCTGAAATTAGCAGTACACATATTTATCGACTGTGTGCACAGACGCCCACACACACACACACACACCAATCTAAACATGTATGTAGACATAAATCTTATTGTTTGATCATAATTCTACTTTTTTTTTTCTTTTTTCTTTTTTTTTTGAGAAATCGTGCAGTCAGTTCAGTGTTATCATCTCCTCTATGTGTGTGTGTGCACGCTCAGCTGACTGACCGCTGATGAGCGGTGATATCGGTGCGCTCACCGCTGCGCTGCAGCCGCTGTTGCTGCAGGGGGAGCATCCGTCCAACAGCCTGCAGTGCTGCGATGCGCGGCAGCTCCTCTCTGCGCCTCTTCCCCCCGCATAATCGTTTTCAAGACCTCCGAGGAACAGATCCG